GCTATAACTTCCGTCCCCTCCCCGCCACCCTCCCTCCCCCCGACCCCCCAGCCGTCCGCACGTCCGTTCTCTCTCCCTCCCGGCGGCGTATTTCCGTGCGCGCGTGTGTGCATTTGTGTGTGTGGCGGCCGCGCCGGGCTCTCGAGGTGAAAATACCGCCCTCTCCTTCCACCCAACCCCTCCGTAAACGCGGAAGGTAGGGCGCCCGCTATCTCGCACGAGTAAGCACGCGAAACAAGGAGGAAGAGGAGAGGAGGACGAGGAGGAGGAGGAGGAGGAAGAAGAAGAAGAAGAAGAGAAGAAGGACGAGAGGCAGATAGAGGAGGAGAAGAAAAAGGGGGGCAGGGAGACACCGGGGAGAGTGCAAAAAGACGGTGGGAAAAGGAAGAAGAAGTGGAAAAAGAAAGCGGCGAAGAAGGAAACGGTGCGCGGGCGGAGTGACAACGGCGCGGAGCGCGGGCGCGAGCGAGGACAGCGCGAAAGGAGATCCCGACTTTATTGGGAGTGAGCAGTGAGAAGGAGATAGAGATAGAGAGAGAGAGAGAGAGAGAGAGAAAAAAAAGTGTGAGGCGCCCACCCGTCATTTATCCTGATACAGCATGACCTCGAACAACTCGCAGAAGCTCTCCACGACGGAACGAGTGTTCAAAAGTAAGCTAACCGTATTAAGTACATCGCGAGCAGCGTCGTGCGACGGACAGACGGATGTATGGACGGACGAGCGAGCGAACATACGAACGAACGTATGTTCGTCCGGTCGTGCGTGAATAAGCTCCGACGCGTGCTGCGAGTGATGGAGCGAGTATGCATGCGCGTTCGTATGCAAATGCGTGCGTGCGTGTCTTATCCGGCTGTCTCCGTCGGTAACGTCGCCGTCGCTTGTGCCTGCCCGCCGGTGTATATTTGTGTTGTCTGTTGTTCTTCGATATTTAATTGCATTTGAACGTCGCCAGTCTCGAAACCGGTGTGTGATTTCTCTCTCTCTCTCTCTCTCTCTCGGTGTTGTTCAGGCTCCGATCACGATATTGTGCGCACGTAAACGCGAAACGAGCACCGTGTGCTCGTACGCGGAGAGAATCGCAACCCGGTTTCAGGTCTGGCGCGACAACGAGCAGCTCCGCTCCGCTCTCGCGAGACGAGAAGCGGAGCGTAGGCGCGTCAAAACACTCCGCGTGTCGTGCACGCGATTGATTTTCCGCCTGACTCGCGACTCGGCGCCATTGCTATCGACCTGACCCGGTGCTCGTCCGGCGAACGCCTCGCAAACGAAATCGCTTTCTCCGCCGGCTGGAGAACAGACGACGACGAGGACCGAAGTCGTGTCGGGATGCTCTTCCGGCCGCCGAGTGCGTGCGAAGGTTGATAACGTCGTAACCCGCAGCGCGACAACCTAACCTTCTAACCACGCGCGACCAACCCCCGCCATCTTCCCCGGAGGTTTCGCCCGGAGGTCGCGTCGCTCGGTTAGCCTCGTTTCCACGGGGTCGAGGAACGCGGGTCCGTCTGGAGGACGCGCTGTCGCGCGCGTCTTCTCGCGCGTCTGCGGCGCAATGCAACGTAACTTCACGCAACGCATCTCGTAACAGCTGACCGTGCGATGCGATGCAATAAGACGCGTCGTCATACGTGCACGCAGGTCGCGTCGAATACACGCACGTTGCGAGGACGCGACTCGCGTTGCTAAGGAAACGATACCGGAGAACGTCCGACTCTCTCTCTCTCTCTCTCTCTCGGAGAACCTCGAGAATATCCCGGTTGTGCGACTAAGAATACTTGTTGCATATTGCGTCTCTAAGAGTCGCGAATATTCCCCATCCCGCCATCCTCTCTGGGTATCGAAAGGGGGCTGAGACTTAGCAAGTAAAATATCGCCGCTTCTTGCCGCCAAGACAAGAGGAGGGTGACGGGAATCGTCGTCGCCGGGGACGAGCGGCCAAAACTATAGACCGGTTTAGGACACACAGGTGGCAATCCCCCCGGGGGTCATCGACCTGCCCTACCGACTGGCGCCCTCGTGTTTTTGTTTGGCGGCGTTTTTGTTGCTTTTGCCTTTTCTCCCCCCCCCCCCCCC